TGGAAAACACATTGGCCTTTCAGTTATGCCACACCCGGGATGAGAGAAATCAGTGATACCTGCCTATATTTTAAAATGTTTGTCGCTTTCAAAATAAAATCATTAATCCTTTTTGAAGACTTTGAAACACTTGGGTTTCAGAGGTATTTTGAGAATTTGTGATCACTGTTATTTAGAAGCACCTTGAAGCCAAGGCTTCATTGGTAAAATGTTTAACTAGAAACAGTGAGATTGAACATAGACCTTTGTATGGCCCTCCCAGCTCAGTAAGGGCAGCGTCGGGTGGGCGTCCTGGGAACTCCACCCCGATGGAAATAAACTTGGCCAGTCCAGAAAAAAGTGGGGAAAGAGTAAAATTTCCTGTCTTGCCACCATCTTTCTGAGACTTATTTTTAACCACAGGAAGAGATGATAATTTCAGACTAAGTGTTCAGATTGACTTCTTTCCTTAGGATCCTTGGAGGTAAAGGAGGAAGATTGGGAAGGGAAGGAAGAGGTCTGGGGGTAAAGTATTAGATATGTAAAGCGATTAGAGTTAGGTGTGATGTCAAAAAATTGTCAGATGACAAGGTTAAATTTTAATTGTACATTTGAGTCTATGGCCATACCACCCCGAACGCGCCCGATCCCGTCTAATTGTACATTTGAACATCCCCATTTCAACAATACAAATAATTAAGGAGAGTAGAGCCCACTGATCAAATCTGAAAGAAAGCCAAGTTTTTAACACAGGTAAACATGCCCTTGTTGGAAAGCTCTTCACATGTGATACTGACATCCGATGGTGTGTATGGTTTCTTCGCATCTCTAACTGGTCCAAGGAGGTAGCTTCCTTGGAAGTGCTGACACACTGGACCTTACAGAAGTTAGAACAGAAAGAGGCCTGGTCTGAGACACGTATTTTCATTTTGACTTCACTGCATGTTCTTTCATGCCTGTCATTCACCTTCTGGATGCTTTCATTTCTGTTGTAAAATGAGGATGTTACATAGGTTCACCAAAAGTTTATTGTGGAAATCAAATAACCTAATTCATAGAGTTATGGAAAGGAACAGGCGAGTTAAAGGATGTGGAAATACTATAAAGTGCTATAAGAGCGTTAGACATTATCATTGTAATTATAGTGACCTATTTTCCAAACCCAAATTGGACCACATGGTATGAGAGAAGATTTTTGTGCCACTTCCAAGGGCGAGAGGCAGTCTGCAAAATGTGATTCAGATGCCAGAATATTGAAGTTTCTGGCACATTTTGAAGGTTTATGGGAGCAATGATAAAATATTTGAAATAGTGGCTGTTCAGTAAAATTTATGATGTGTGATCACTATAATTATAATACTTCTTTGCAAAAGGTATTTTATTTCTCATATTAGTAGAATTCTTTGGTTTCACAAAATCTCAGAGCTTGGAAGGACTTTCACAGGCTGTACGGCAGTTTCCCAGTCTGAGTCTCGAGGACAAATGGTGGGCGCAGATTTGGGGGGAAGCAGATTTTGTAGCCTCTTCTAGTATGGTATCTTGTTTTATTATTGAACATCCTTACCTCCGAATCTCTTTCTGTGTTAACTCTTGTCACCTTTATTTCTTCACCTTTTTAAAAAAACATAACTGACATAAACTTATGCAGGAGAAGAATAATTCTTTTAATAGAAATTTTTTTCAAAGGATAACAGTATAAAAATGTTGAAAAAAAACTGTTGGATTTCTCTACCAGAAGGACTTAGGATATGTTGTTTCTTGGATGATGACTGCAAAAATATATTTTATTTCCTTTGGTTTAGCACCATAATGAGTCCATATGATATATGGCATCAAACTCTACCTAGAAATTTTAAAAATGTAAGCTATTTATTGACTGGGTGCTTTGCTTTCTTAATACAGGAGTGTGTAAGTCAGAGGTAAAACTCTATTTCTTGGACTTACACTGTAAGAAACTTTGGTGTTTGTTTTCTCTTTCTTTCATCTTGTTCCTCCCTTCATGAAAGGTTTGAGATTTATAGCTTGTGGTTTTATAAACCTTTGGTTTCTACTTTTGCAGTCATGTATTAAAACATTAAGGAGTTTATTCTGTTGTCAATAACAAGAAAGGGAATGTTTTGGAGTTTATATGCACTGACAGAGTAACTCAAAAATTGTGGAATAGATCAAGTTCATATTGATTGTTCCATGAAGCATCTTAAATTTTCAGCACAAACTGTGAACTCAGTGAGGCAGTTAAGATGCCTAAATAATATGAACTTGGTGTTAATAATCCAGTTGATGTTTCAGTTTTTATCCAGATGTGTGAAACTTCTGGATGCCATCCCTGGGATTGGTTCTGAAAGACTGCATGGATTTGCAGCTAGACTAAAACAAACAAATCTACATGCTGGCTGGGAGGTTGCTCCATGAATTATGCATCTGTAGCTTTTGTGTCTCTTCAGGGATTAGACAGAACTGGAGAGAGAGGTGCCCAGATACAAATGGCTTAGAAAATTGGATGTGGTGGCTAGGAGTTACTATGCACAAGATTTTCTGTCTTGGTATGGCTCTCTAAGAGATTGGGGCAAACAGCACACAGAACAATAGGAGGGGTTGAATTTGGCTTTTAACACTGTTGACATTGGGGTTTTTGTTTGTTTGTTTGTTTTTGATGCAAGGTGTAATCCTTATCCTTGAAAATTTCTGCTGCCAGACCACCGATGGAGGACCTCGGTTTGTGTGCGTAGGGACTGTCATTGTCCAGCCTGGCACTGAGCTCAGTGAAAGAAATTGGGTGTTAGGGAGGCCAATACTTCATTGAAGGGACCTCTTTTGACTGAGTAGGGCAGCATTTAGCTGAGTCCTCCTCAGTGGTATTTTGGAAGTTGCTGAGTTTATTATACATATTGATCATATCATCTTTGTGCATTCATGGCAAGAATGCCTATTTAATGTGGACATGACCAGCCATCAGACAGAATAATGCCTCACTAGAGCTTGCTGTGGATGACCGTTGGCCTTGTGGATGGTCACAATGAATCAATGTGGCTAGATTTTTTTAAAAATTGCTTGAGCACTATACCAGCACAGAGAGACCCAGCTGGAGCTCTAAGCTTAAGTGGGCACTAAAGCCAAAAATCTAGCATCCTGTGGGTGGTTTGAAATGCCAGGTTTGTTTTTTGGTGTGGAGTCAGTAGAGTAATATCTTTTTAAAAATTGTGAAGTTTAAGAGAACATGGAACTCACGAGTTGAGGCTGTGAGCACTCTGGTTTAACCGGGTGCTTTGTATCAGGTGTATAAATGACACATCCCAGTGTAATTCAGAAATGACAGCTTCTAAGGAGAATGAGATAAGATTCTTTGAGCCACAAAGAAAGTTAAAATATATATATATATATATACATATATATTAAATATTTTATTTATTTATCTTTAGAGGGGAAGGAGAGAGGGAGAGAAACATCAATGTATGGTTGCCTCTAGTACTTCCCCTGCTGGGAAATAGCCCACAGGGAACTGGTCAGCAACCCAGGCATGTGCCCTGACTGGGAATCGAACCGCAATCCTTTGGTTTGCAGGCCCGAGCTCAATCCACTGAGCTACACCAGCCAGGGCTTAAAATATATATATTTTTTCTAGCTCAGTCTAGTGGGCTCAGGCTCCCTTGCTAGATAGAGATATTTTTAAAAATTCATTCAACAAACATTTATTAAGCTCTAACTTTGTAGAGCTCTTCCTTTTTATTTAAAAGTAAGTTCTTCCTTTTTATTTAAAAAATTTTCCAGGTTTATGGAGCTATAATTGACACATAACTCTGTAACTTTAAAGTGTACACGGGATTAATTTAATACATTTATATATTACAAAATTATTACCACCATTGCATTAGCTACTTTCTCCATTCTGTCACATAGTTACCTTTTTTCTGTGATCAGAACATGTAAGATTGACTTCCTGAGCAATATTTAAATATGTGATACAGTCTTGTTAACTATAATCACCATGCTGTATATTAGATCCCCAAACTTTTTAATCTTGTAACTGGAAATTAGTACCCATTAACCAATATTTCTCTGTTTCCCTGGTAACCATCACCTTTCTCTCTATTTTTTTTCGGATAGAGATGCTTTAAGGCACATGCAAACACTGAGATCGTTAACACACACAGTCGTACATCTTGCTTCCAGATGTAGCAGTTGATAAGTTCATAATACATAGTCACCTGATATTAAGGCTTTAAATCTTTCCAAGTATATCCATTATTTTCACAGTTTGATACTTATAATAACAACAGCACCTTACATTTAGATACAGATTTGTAGTTTAGAAAGTGTTTTCATACATTATCCAAAATTTGGGGTGACTAGTAACCTTAAAGTTGCTTAGTACTTTTATACTATGTGCCAGAAGACAATCCCAGTGTCTGTTGATTTCATGGAGAATCTGTCACTAACAAAATTTATAAAGTAAATTATATATTGACTTTTAAAGAATACTCTTGTGAAAGAGGAAAATAAAAAGGGAGACTCTTGTAGCCTATTTAGCTTTCTATGTGGTAGTGGTTGACAAATAACTGAGATTTTGCTTTTCTGAGATCAGAGTCATATATAAAAAATCATCTAAATCGGAAAGCAATTTAATTTACATTAATATGACCCAAAAATTCAGTTGTTTTCATTTTCAAAATTATTTTCTTAGCTGTTTTTGTGCTTTACCTTTCAATATTTCTGAATTAGTGTGGGATAGACTTTGCAGAAGAATATGCTAAAATTGACTTTCTGTTCACAAGCAAAACTGACAAATGCCTTCTTCCTTATTGTCTTTAAATTGCAAATGTCTGAAGGCCTTTTGGATGCGTCATCCTGAGATGTAAATGCATTACAGCTTTTGAACATGATTTGCAAAATGCACAGGAGGACTCTAGGGGAGGTGGGTCAGAATCTGGCAGTCAAAAGGTAGTACAACCAAATTTGATTTATGTCTTTGTTTTTGAATAGTTATTGATTATATAAGTAAGTAGCCTATGTTTCTCTTTCAGAACTTTGCAGAAAACACCATGAATGAACTCCTTGGCTGGTATGGCTATGATAAGGTTGAATTGAAAGATGGTGAAGATATTGAATTCAGGAGCTACCCTACAGATGGAGAGAGCCGGCAGCACATTTCTGTTCTCAAAGGTAATGACATTTAAGGTCTCTCTGTTATGCCAAGAAGGATTAACTATCTCAACCTGTCAGAACTGAGTTGCTTTGGGACTCATTTTGTTGATTATGCCAATGGTTGATTTGCATGTATGTCCCCAGCAGTGCTTTCCCACAAGCAGAACTCCACAGAATGTAAGAGCACAACATAAAACAAAAATAGACACGGCTTGATCTCCTTCCAGCAATGGGAGAACTAGCTAGACAGGGGCTGAGGGCCTGAAGTGCTGTCGTCCTCCTACCCACAAATTCATGGAAAGGGGCAAGGTTTGCTAACTTCTCCCAGTTTCCTAAGTATTTTGCTATACGCATTGTTGGGGGCTGGTGCTTTCCATTAAGTGAAATGCTAGGTTTAGATTTTCAGGCTGCAGGCGAGTATCATAGTTACTTCTGTAATTCTCCCCCACTTTTTTTGTGGAAATTCTAAATGAAAGTCCTGTTCTGTTTGGTGTTTGAAATGTTCACCCTTCTCCCATCCCCACATCTGTGGATAGGGTAAGTAGAGGAGTAAGAAAGTATGATTGGATCCTGTATTATTCTATAACAAGTTACTTAAAGCCTTGCTAGAGAGTGGAAATTAGAGGCTTGACAGAGTCGAATCAACACTGATTCTACCAGTTGTAACAGTGCCAGATATCTCATGAGCGAAGCGTGGAACTATTGCTGGGTGTTTGTATGGATACTGGACTTGGGGACCTGAATTTGGAATGAATGTTTGCCCAAGAAAAGAAGAGGAGTATGAAGAAGCAACCCATTTAGGGAACTTCAATAAAATGTGGATAAAACTAATTGTGTGCCATCACTGCTAATTTGATCATTATTTACGCATTGCATTCAAAGTCTATTGGCATAAACTACCTGTTCATGCATTTTGTTTCCAGTCTCTAAGATAGCGCTTTTCCTTCTTGTATACCAAGCCTGGAAATGTAAATGAGCTGTCTGCAGGCATGTGGAATTGAACGTACGTGACAAATTTTATATGAAGCTTGCTATGAAATTGTACATACCATGTTAACAGCAATAGTATCAATATCATTGTGAATGAAAAACACAAATTGTGAGTTTACATTCTATAAATTAATAGCTCATAAAATACTCAGTTTAGGTAGTAATCTTTGCCTCTGGGGGATAGAAATGCCAGGAGATGTGTCTAGAGTGAAAAAGTTATTTTCTATGGTTGAATTTTTTAAATGGTTGTCATGCAAAGATAAAATTCACAAAGTTCATATCATTGTAAGTTTTCTTTAGTTTAATTTTTGCTAATTTTAATTTGATATTAATGGGCCAGTTTAACGGATCTACCCTGTGCAACAGTAGTTTTGTTTCTAATCATTTGTTTCTTTCACATTGGTTCTTTTGATTATACTATGAACCAAATTTATAATACACTGGAACCTAATTACAGTGCTGGGTGGGGGCAGGGCACTTTTTAAGCTCCTCCCCTGGCAGACAGAGAGCAATACCTGCTATATATCACTTTGTATGTGGAAAAGGTTAATTGCCTCTCAATCTTCAATGGGCTTTTACTGTGCTAAAATTCATCATCATGATACAGTTGGGATGTTAGCTATCATAGTGGGGCAAATTATACGGAAGCCCTCTGAAAATTGATGGTAACAAGCCTGAAAAGGTCCTGGATGGTCTGTAGGGTTCTGGGAAAATGTTTAAAGGTTTGCAAGGAAAATTTGTTTTGTTCCACAGCTATTTTACTTGAGAAAAAATGTGGTCATAAGGAAAATGAGGTCTTTTGTCATATTGAAGGTGATTTTTTTCTTTTACAGAAAATTCTTTGCCAAAACCAAAATTACCTGAGGACAGTGTTATTTCACCATACAATATAAGCACAGGCTATTCAGGGCTTGCCACCGGAAATGGACTCAGTGACTCACCTGCAGGGTCAAAGGATCATGGCAATGTGCCCATTATTGTACCTTTAATTCCGCCTCCTTTCATAAAACCACCAGCAGGTAAGTCATTACTGGGGTGTCCAACATTAACGCCTTAGAGAAAGTTGTTTTAATTATCTTATAAATAACATCAAGCAAAAATTAATTTTGGAAAAGACTGTTTTAGAAACTTTGTAGATGAGTAGTGTTCGTGCATGTATTCTTTAAAGTAGTATTGCTATGCTAAGCAAATTCCCCAAGTGGTTGCTTAGGGTGTAAATTTCAACCTACCAATAAACTTCTAGCATTGGCTGCAAAAAGTTATTTTCCTTCTTTGGAATTATCTGTTTAAAATTTAAAAAAGATGAAATAATTTTAAAAATAAGATCTGTACTTACTGGTTAGCAAGAAAAACAGTGAACGTGGCTGGTGGAGTCTCGAGGGCCAGGTGTTCTCTGTGAGCTTCTCCAGGGAGGGGCAGTTCTGTAAAGGGTGTGCTGTAGGCTGCTTCTCAGTCCACTTAAGAAACAACCTAGGTTACCTACCTGTGCCATAGAGTTCTTTCTAATTCTTAAAGAGCTCTTGGAGAGCTTTAAAAAAAATGGAGATCTGCATTTCACTCCTGTGAAAATATAATCAGTTCTTTTATATTTCCAGACAATTCAATGCCAGTGAGCAGACAGACCATGATGTGATACTGCAAGTTAGGTTTCAGATATGTTCTGTACACAGAAAGAAGTCCAGCACTATTGTATCTGGGTTGCTGTAAAATGTTAGAATTATGCTAGAAAATTTAATTGCTACACCGGTTTTTTTTTTGTACATTGAATTGAATAGTGATACTGAGTTTTGATAGCAGTATTTATTATAATTTCCTGAAGCTAATGGTTGTATTTTTTTTAGGGAAGGTAGGTGTTTGGTTATGTTCCCATAACAGTGAAGATATTTGTAGGTGAAAATTGCTGGGCTTATGGTGTAGACATATTTGCACCATACTCTAAGTGCTACTAACATTTTCTCTTGTGGTGTGGGCACATTCTCTTGTTGGCTGAATACATTTTAGCAGTAAGTGTTCTTTCCTACTGAGGTTCCCAGATGTGTCACTAAAATCCATTTACCTGTCAAAGTCACTTGTAATTGTGTCTGTCGACTAACTACTAATGTAACTTGTGTATCTTAAAAGTTTGCCTTTTTTAATACCCCATTCTCCTTTGTTTGTTTTGTGAAACAGAGAGGCCCAGATTTATTTCCCAAGTACCAAAGGCCTAGTTTGCATAGACCAACTTAAAACAAGAGGGGGACTAATATAAAAGTGTAAGGTTCATATCTGAGTGTGTATCCAGTGGCTGGGGTGAGTGGTGGTAACAGCGAAGGTATCATTAAGGCAGTGTGACTAAGTGAAGAGAACACCATCTTCAGATACAGGCCACTTGGGTTGAAATCTAAGCTTTGTCACTTACCAGCTCTGTGAATATGGACAAGTTACATAAGCTCTCTTCTCCTCAGTTTCCTCATCTGTAAATTGGGGGCCATAGTTTCACCTCTGGGGATTTGCTGTGTCCCTGAGAGGAGAAAATGTGAACAAGCCACCTCACATGGTGCCTGCCATATAAAAGCCAGTTAGTTTTTTTCTATTTTTCAGTTTGTAGTCAGCCTTAGTGTTGTCATGCACATAATTTGTGCATAAAAAGGTGTGCATCCAAATGCAAATTCCCTGCTAAGATTTATTTGAGCAAAAGCAAACAGCTTTAGAAATTAGCATAGCTGAGGCTAACTTGAGTTTGGCATGCCAAAAAACCTGCCCTGGAGTTTCCTGCTGAGCCAGCCACGTGGAATTCAAGCACACAGCTCCTATTTAATTCTAATTCCACATCAGATCAGGAAATAAATATGCAGAGGAATGGAGGCCAAAAATTGGGCCTTGGACGTCTTAGACATAGGAACTCTGAGGAATTAGAAGGCAGAGTAACCGAACACCAGTGGTTTCATGCTGTCCTCTACCCAACTCCAAGGCGTTCATCTGTTCAAAGCAAAATGTGGGGAAGGACATGTTTAATATTCTGTATCTGCTCTAAATCTGACTCGATCCTGCTCCGGGGTCCTGTATGACAAGACAAAGGTCAGAAAGGTTCTCTGCTTTCATGGCCCTTACTCTATTAGTTCCTAAGCATAAATTTAGAGGAGGGGTGGATTTTGACTCAGTCGTGTTATCTAGTTCAGGGATTAGCAAACTTTTCCTCTACAGGGCCAGATAGTATTTTAGGCTTTGGAGCTGTACTATCTCTACTACTGCTGAACCCTGTGGTAGTCACAGGAAAGCAGCCGTAGATAATAATACATAAGCAAGTGGGCATTGCTGTGTTCCAATAAAACTTTATTTTTAAAAAAAGGCAGTGCTCAGGGTTTGGCCCATAGGCCACAGTTTGTTAACCTTTGCATTAGGGTAAGATTGGTAAAAGTCTCATAATAACTGGAGGGGGAATAGAATTTCTAAGAGTCATTTGAGCTCTGCCTAGGTCCACTGTGAAATATTGTGAGGACTAGCAACAAGGGCTGGAAATGGTGGAGTTTTCAGAGTACAGGGTGAGCTCTGACACACAGAATATTCGCTCTACCAACATTTGTTGAATAAATGAATATTATTCAAATTCCTATTGCAGGGCAGGCTACTTTGTTGTTCATTGAGAAAATACTAGTATCTTGTCTGAATTAGTCCCCACCTGTCTGACCTTGACCACAGTCTCCCAGACAGTTATGTGAGTCATTATCCATGGATAAGTCAAGTGCACAAATTACCTAAAAACTTCTGTCTAGTTCATCATTTCAGTTCTTTTTTTGGCTAAGACTTTTACCAGAGTTGTTATTCAGGGTAATAGAGTCGAGGCACATTTGCTGTCAGTTCTGTAGCCATATGTAGGTTAACATGGCCTTCCTGAGGGGAACAAATAAATGGTAGAGTGGCTAGAAGCAAAAGGTCCCTCTGTAATCAGCCCCTGAACAATTTACGGTTGACTGTATCATGCAGGCGTCCACCTTTCAGGGTAGGGAAGGTGAGAATTATACATATGCTTTGGATTTCTGGAAAGAAAATAACTCTCACTGTTCAAATGATCGTTGTTGTAGTGTAAGCAGGCTATATGAAGATGTTAATAATAGTACCTATGTTTGTATTAAATCCTTTACAGTTTATGAAACTCATTCATACTTACAATTTTATTTAATTTGATCTTCACAATTACCCTGGGAAATAGTGTGTTAGATATTATTCAATTAAAAATTGAAGCTCAAATAGGTTGAATAGCTTTCTCAAGGTCATGTGGTTTCTAAATACTCAAGCCAAGAATAGTACTAAGGTTTTCTGACTCCTAATCTAATACTCTTTTTTAATATAAAGCTGGACTTTCAGCATATTTATACAAAAGTTCCCTAGACTGTCTCAGAATAAGAATACTTATTAATCTGCTACTTCAGATTCCCCAATGACAGGGGATGCAATTTGTTCCCACAAAAGCCTATTTTTAAAAGCCCACATCTTTTGGAAGACTCAGACTTTCTAACCCCGAACAGCTGTGGTTCCGTGAACTGGTGGGATGACCCAGTAGGGGCCAAACCCTGATTCGGTGTGACAGTGAGTGCCGTCATGGGGCAAGCTGCTGCTTCTCGGAGGAACTGGAGGGCTCTGTCTGGCCAGGCCCTGGTTTTAGAGTGTGTTTCATGTGCTCAGGCGGGCTCACCACTGGACCCCATCCATGTCTGGCAGGCAGTGGGCCCAGTGGAATACTCGTGATTGGGAACATGGTGATACCACACGCTCTTGGATTTCCACTCTCCCTCTGCACAGCTGCACACAGAAGTGTGGGCGTAGCTTACTTCTGTGCCTGGGGAAGCTGCTTTTTTCGTTCCTGCCCCCCTCTTCCTCAGAGAAGGGGAACTCCCTGGGCTTTGGTGATTACCGGAAGCATTGACCCTCTTTTGGCCTCACGTGTGCACCTGATTTCATCCGATTTCCGAAGCTAAGCCACCCTTCCCCACTCAGAGATAGACTTTGGCCCTTGGTGTTGGGTTTGTGACATCACAGTTGTTACTATGGTAATAGACTTGTTATAAACACAGGATAATAGCCCTGATTTTGCTGTCCCCCCCCTTTTCAAGCAGTGAAGGGAATTACCATGATCCTTAAATAAGAATCACAGACTTTTTGGAGACTCTAGGAAGTGGACAAAATAAGGCTTTGCCATACAGAGTAGCCATCAAAAAAAAAAAAACCACTGAACAAACAAATCCAAAACACTGTTACAAGAATAACGTTAGAAATAATTGAAAATATTAACCAACTCTTTTTGTGCAAAGACTCCTTTATCCTTGCAGTTTTAACGAGTATGAAAACCTTTGCTAATTTTAAGAATCACAGCATGAGCATAGTCTGGAGTGGCAGAATATCTATCAGCAACAGTCTTGAAAGATAACTCAGGTTAATTATATTGTAACCTTGCTGTAATTCTTCTCATATTAGACATTTTAATATGAGTTCAACCCTCTGGGACTTCATTGAAAGAGGATTGTGCCAGTGAAGGACTTCAGTTGGCATGGAGTATAAGAACCATGTTATAGTGAGTCTCTGTCGAAATACTACATGTACCCGACTCCCCTGCAAGTTCGACTGTTGAAGTAAAAACGTTCAAAGTGGATTTTATGTATAATTTTTAAACAAAGACCTCCTATCCATCTTTACTGCTTTACAAGTGCAACAGCACTCAGCCCCACTGATCGGCCCTCAGCCCCGCAGTGGTCGGGCAGGCTTGGGTCTCCCCATCCTGCCTGCATCCGGTCAAAGTAACCAGTGGGGACTCCAATCGGGATTTTTATATCTCAGCCTTAGACTTGCCCTATGACAACACTTTGCTTCCAAGAATTAAAAAAAAAATTAATGAAACTGTTAGAGTAGTTATTTTTGTTCATGAGGGAAAAGAGGAAATGCAGCAACTTTTTAAATGAAAGTTTTACTGAGCTCTGCTGCAGAAAACACTGTGTATCTAGGAAACGACATTTTAGATGTATTTTAACAGGTTTTCCCAGAAGCT